TGTCCGTTCTCCGACCACCTAGCACCGTCGGGCAGCTTCCAGGAACTACTACTTCACCGATCACCATCAGCAACTAGCCGTTGCCATCTTCGTTTGAACAAAAACCTCCGAAGGCATCAGCATAGACTGGACTCATTGTTCGAGTTGCTGCCGCCGACTATAGGTGCGACTAGGGCCGCCATTCTCTGCCACCGATAGCCACCGTCGTGGTTGCTTAAACTGCTGCTGCTTGGCTGAGAACCAAAAGAGACCACTGCGGTGGTGACTGATGTCCCCAAATCTTTTGTTGTCGTTGTTGTGAGCCACCGAGAGGGTGGTTGAGGTGCATCTCGCAGATCAGAAGTATGTGTGTGGGTGTTTATTGGCCAGAAAAGGCATCACCACCAACGTGAGGTGGTGGTTGCCACCATCTACCACCACCGGCCACCATAGGGTGGCTGTGTGTGTTTATGTTGTTTAGTGTGTCTATTTATTTTTAGTTTTAGCATTGTAAAGTGTAAATTACAAATTAAATAATGAAAGGAAAACTGAATACCACCACCGTAAGGGGGTGGTTGCCGCCTCCTGCCGCTGCCGGCCGCTGTGTCGGATGGCAGTGTGCTTTGATTGTGTTTTGACTTGTTTGGATGGTTGGTCAATGGGACTAAGAAACCCTAATGGGCCCAATGAGGCTTAATGGGCTTAACAAACCTAATGGGCCCAATAAAGCTTAATGGACCGAAAATCCCAAATAGATGACTAATGGGCCTAGTGAAACCTTAATGAGTCTAATGAACCTTAATTAATCAAAAGACATATCAATTGGGCCTATTGGGCTAAGTTGGGGTTGGAAACCCTAATTAGGGTTTAGAAAACCCTAATATTCGATATATGGGCTTGGACTTATTGGGACCCACTTTTGGGCCATTGGAATGGAATTTTGTGATTAAGCCGAATCACACCATATGACTTATTTAGAAGAATGATGGATTAAATGGATTAAGTCCTTAATGGGTTATGTGAGAAACACTTAACCCTAATTGTCATTTTATCTGAAAACCCTAATTTCACTTGGGTTTATGGTTGGGCCTTTTATTCGGCCTAGAATAATTAATGGGCTTTGAGATAAGGCCTATATGAGGAGTTGGGCGTAATTTGGAAAATTGGCCCATAGATGGGCCATAGTTGGGCCTTAATGATTATATAATATTGAACCATCAAACTGTCAAAGGTTAGACTGGAATAAATGGTTGGGCCTTATGGTAAGACCTTGTAAAGGCTTGGGCGCAATTTGAAAAATTAGGCCATATGTTGGGCTTTGACTCATAGTTGTCTTTTGGGCCTTTGGATTGGGCCTTGGGCTTGATTAAAGCTGAGTTAGGGGTAAAGCAGTATTTACCCCAAGTATGTATTTATGGTTATTTGTTGGAACCAAAATTATTAATTGGGTGATGTTTTGATATTGACAGTTCGGGAATCTATCATCCAGCAGCTGAGGTTGGCTTTGTGGGACTTCATTAGTGTGGGGTTGAGCCTACGGGACTTCAGCAGTTTGAGGTGAGTTACCTTCCAGTAGCGGTGGGTCTAGGGCTACAATGCCGACCCACCAGTAGGAGTTGTATGTTAGTTGATTGTCTTTGTGATATTCATCTAGGTTTGCTACTACTTGATATGTTATATGCTGGCATGATATGTTATATGTGATAGTGATAGTAGGGGGGAGACTAGTCCCCAAGTTTGGTTGTTATAACCGAAGGGTAGGTCGGACACACAAAATATGTCTAACAATATGTTTATGTTATGATATATATGATAGTAGCGGTAGGGGGTGGAATAGTCCCCGAGGTTCGATTGTTAGGACCGAAGGGTAGGTCAGCACCCCAGAACGCCTTGACACGGGTAGGTCGGCACCCCAGAATAGCCGTACCGGGTAGGTCGGGCACCCTAAAATGCCCGACAGTATGTATGCTATGTGATTGTATGGTATGTGGTGCGATGGGGGAACTCACTACGCTTCGTGCTTACAATTTTCAGTTTTGGTTTCAGGTACTTCGATTTCAAAGGGAAGGAGCCGACTTGATCGCAGCACATCACATTATGGTTTTCCGCACACGAGATATTTGGGATTACACTCTGATATTGTTTTATGATAACATGTTTTAATTATCTCTACTTTTGTTTTGACATGACATGATATTATTCATGTTTTCTTATACTCTTGGTTTTATAATAACGTATTTAAAAATGAAATTTTTGGCCTGTATTTTTGGGATGTTATAGATTCCATTTGAGCTTCCCTTGGTGTTAAGTCTGATCATGTGAGAAAAAAAAGAGTGAAGTATTTTTAGTTGAAGTTTTTAGTTTCCTTTATTTTGTTCTAAGTTCTTTTAGGTCATCTACGTCGTTCCATTTTGGTTACAATGTTTAATCTTTTTATTACTTGAGGGCAAGTAAGGGTCAAGTTTGGGGAGATTTGATAGATGCCATTTTATACATCTTTTAAGGTAGTTTTTTTTACCATTTAGCTTCATATTTTACACATTTTCATGTCATTAGTTTAAATAATGTTCAACTTGTGTCTTTCATAAGAATTTCTGTACTGCTCATGTTTTTTGTGTCATTTTCATATAGTTTGAGTGGATGAGTACTTTAGGATCAAATTGGATGCATATTTGGAAATTAAATGGAGTTGGAACTGAAGAAGGATGCCGAGGAATGACTTGGACTGCTTAAAATGAAGAATTACGACCGAATCGTGACAAAAAGAGAAAAATGTGATCGCATTTTCTCAAATATGTGATTGCATAAACTGGTCGAGGATTGTTTGGGTCGAAAAATATCATCTGAAGAAAAAAGGGCAAAAATGCGATCGCAATTCAATTCTTTATATATGCGATCGTATTTGTCTATCGAAGTTTAAAAAATGTCACAAATTGCATCATATTTCATTAACTGACAAATCCGAAGATTTAAAAAAAAATGCAATCACATATTCTGATAAATGCGTGCATTGTTTTCGTTTACTTACGCTGAAATCTTCTAATCTGCATATAAATACAACCCCTTTGATCAGATTTCACCGCAAATGATTCCAGATGATGAAAAACCCTTCTGAAGGCGATTTTTAATATTTTTCATCACTTTCTAGAGATCTAAAGGTTGTGAATCATCTCCTATATTTAGTTTAGTAACATTATTTAATGCCCGCAAATTTGGGCAAGTGAATTTAGAGATACTAAACGTTAAAAATGACTTTTGATAGAAGATTATTTGGGAAAAATAATCTTAACAAAAGTTATAGTATATGTGATAAGGATTCTGTACTTATAAAGAATGTTGAAATACAACTTCGTATGATGGAGTTATGCTTCTTTGAAGTTTCATGATTTAACCAGCACGAATCTGCATATTATAAAAAGTGAATTTTTGATAAATTTCCTTTTAGCCTTAGTGAACTGAATGAAAGTCACAGTATTTGTTAAACCAAGAGTGTTTATATAGAGAATGTCCAAATCTGACTTCAGTAGAGGAAGTTATGATTTTTCGAAGTTTCAACGTCGGAATGTGGGTATAGAAATCGAATTTTGGATCGGTCGGATTTTAGCTGGAATGATCTCTAAACTAGAATTGAAGATCTCGTTAATAGGAGTTCAATGATATAAAGACCATCGAAAACGGAGTCCGTATGTAGAAGTTATGAATTTTACACAGTCATTAGCACTATAATCTTCTCAGACTCTTAAATTTAAGATTGGTCGAGAATCAGCCAATGGGGTGAAAAGAAAAGTTGTAGTACTCAAAAATAGGTACGCATGGATATAAATAACGTCAAAAATAGAGCTCGTATGGGAAGGTTATGATTTTTTGAAGATCTGTGATTTTGCCCGCGTCCGATGCCATGTGTTAGCACCAGAGGCGAAGCCTTGGTTCCTATGCAAGCTCACAACGCGAGAGGCATGTCTTATGATGTAAGAAGATCTTGAACAGCCTATAGAAATGGTTTTACCTCATTTCTTCATCACAAATCACTCCTAGACATTCATCACTCTTTCTCTCTCTCCCTCTCTCTCTAGATCTCGTGTTCTAAAGTTTTCGAGGTTGTGGAGTATCTTAGCAAGGCTCTGAGGCGTCAGAGAGCCTGAAAAATAGAAGCTCTCGAGTCAGGATTCTACCATTGCAGCTTCTTGGTATTCACTAAAACCGTTGTAAGTTAAGCTACACTCTCTTTCTTTCAGTGTAGCTTATATTTATAGTCATATGTTGTTATTATGAACCTATAAATAAGATTAATTAGTAATTCCAAGTCGAAATACTAATTGATCTACTTATGGTAGATGTGTCTTGAATTGTCTCGTTGTCTTGGTTGTTGGATTTTAGAAATTCTATATGCCGAAATAGTTCTACCTCATAATTGTCCTGCATGGCTGATCCTTATTTGATAGAGCTATCAATATTCATTGGAATGATTGATACAGTACAAGAAAAAGACCCTTTTATGGTGTGCAAACCACGACACTCATTGATTTATGTTACGCAAAAGAGTGTGACATTAAAAAAGTGTCATCTCTTCAAAAAATTGAAGGACTTAGGTCACGCATTATTACGTGCCCTAAAATTAGTGGCATAAGAAAAAAAATATGAAAAACACGGAGGGCGCTGTATGTTAAATGCGCGTCCTCTATAAGTGTCGCTTTATAATTTTATTGAACGCACATTTAGTAGATAGGGGGGAAATGAAATCCCCAAAAAATTAAAACCCCGCCTCTTGCGTCTCCTCCTTCTCCTTCTCCTTCGTGTGTTCTCCCCCTTCTCCTTCGTGTGCTTTCCCTTTTGTTTAGCTTGAATTTCACCATATACTTTATCCTCTCCACCAGCCGTCAACCTTCACACTATCCTTCTCCCTTTCTCTGCAAACCCTATCTTCCTCCACCACTACTAAATCCCTTTTGTTTATCCTTAAGGAATACCACAACCAAGCTCATATCTTAGATCAAGTACTTCAGCGTGGATTTAACCTCGACATGTCAGATGCAGCTCAATACTCTCTCCAAAGCTCTCTGCGACGGCCTCGAACTCGCTGGAAAATTCCTAGTCTCCAGCCGTTGGAACGTCTACAAGAACCTTGCAAGCTTTTTGACAATGGAGTTAAGTGGTGCCACCAACGGAAGCTTGCAAGCTTTCAATTCTCAACAAAAGTTTTACAAGAGTTTAGTACTGTAAGCTTCAAGTCAAATGGTGCTAAACTAGCCAAAAAGATTTCCTTACTAGCAGCTGCTGAGGAAACCATGGATTTGCAGGTAAAGTATTAACTTAAAATTGATGAATTAGTTGTAGCATTGTTTTAATTATTTGCTTTATGTTCTTATGCAGGATCTGTTGATGAGATCGACATTAGATTTGATGTTTAAGGTGGGGTTTGGGTTTGATCTTGATACTCTATCGGGTTCAATTGAGGCAAGCAATCAGTTTATGGAAGTGTTTGATGAATCAAATGGTTTATTATATTGTCGATTTGTGGATCTTCTATGGAAGGTGAAAAGGTATCTTAATATTGGTTCGGAAGCTGATCTCAAAGAAAAAAAAATCAAAATTATCGATAACTTTGTATATGAATGGATACAAAACAAGAGGAAAAAACTGAAAAATGAAGAGGTATCTTTATGTGCGTAAAAGTAATTAAAACTCTTTTCATTCCATTGGATTAATTAACCCTTCAATTTTTTCTCATTTTAATGCTTTCTTTGTGCGTGGTCATGAGGTACAGAGATTTACTAGGAATGTCCTTCTCAAAGAAGACATATTGTCAATCATGATTCCTTCACCTAATCTTCTATTAGGTGAGTTCTTTAATTTTTATACATTCTTTAATTCAATTGTGATTCCCAGACCTAATGAGCCATTTGTTTTAGAACTTCTTACAACTCTTCCAACAACCATTGTTGACCTTGAGCCTCACCAGATACACACGTCTTATGAATATGTAAGTTTTAAGTGTCTCGATGAGATTTTTTTATATATTTTTACAAATACTTATTTGATGTTTTTGTGAAGGTGGGCTGGTCGTATGATTCAAGCAGAATCTGAGGAAACAGAGCGTGATGTGTATCTGCAGAGGCTGATGGATCTTCCCAATCAGGTGTTAGAAATTTGGGTGTAGAAAGGCTTGGAAATTCTGAGAATTGTGATTATCACTTTCAAATTGAAGTATTTGGTGGTACTCCCAAATCTTCAATTGGATAAGACTCAGAGAGACAAGAACAGAGAATGTTTGATGATATTTTTGTATGTACCAGAAAATGAGACCAAAACCAACTTTAACAACTTTGTCTGAAAAACTGTCATATGACAGTTTTAAACTGTCATAAAACCATAAAAACTGTCATAAAACGGATATATGGATAAGGGTCAAACCAACTTTAACAACTTTGTCGATCCCAGCCAGGGGCTGCCGCCCCTTGGACCCCGCTCCCAGGGGCGCTGCCCCCGGACCCCCGTTCGTTTAGGGGCTTCGCCCCTAAATGACAATGTACTTTGAAACTTGATCAAACTTAAACAAGTGTGTACTCCACACCTTCCTTACTTGTTTAATATTTATCAAGATCATTTTTGGTCACACACAAAGTAATCTCATTACACTTAAATAACATTGATGATCAAAATCACCAACATCAGGTAGGGTTCTTCTTGAAGGATAACTCTTAATTTGGATTTCTTAATATATGTCTTAATCTATGTCTTATGATAAGTATGTCCTGTTGACCGGATATCTTCCATTTGAGGAGTCTGATCTTGCAACTTTGTATAAAAAGGTTAAATATCAAAAAACTTTTATTAACATTATTATTTTATAAAATGGTTTTATATTTAGTTTTTAAGATCTTCAACTAACACACATGCCTGTTCACATCGTTTTATTATATGATGTGAGATTCAATAACATGTTTAGTAACATGAATTCAGGGGATGTTTTGATGTATGTGAAGATGACGTGGCTGTTAGCCCAACTGGACAAGATGAGAATCTATTAAGCCTTTTAATGGCTCTTTTTCACTCTTCACAGTTATCAGGTATGTTGTTAGTTACATGATTCTTGAAATTAAATATGTTATATGCCTTGACAAAGTTATCTGGAAACTTTTTTTTTCAGTTATTCCAATAATACCAACTTGATGCTACTTTTATGGGGATGTGGCTGTGAGGTTACCATTTGTTGACGTGGCAGGGCTGACCGATAGGAATGAGGTCAAAGGAGATTTTTCGAATCTTTCTTGGGTTGGAAATATTACATGGCTTACAAATGGTGATATTGAAGTTACTTGGGCTGATAGAATGGTTTCAATGGCCTGTTGAATCATATTTCTTGTAAAAGACGTTAATGCCCTACTTGTTTGAAGTAGTTTTTGTTTATTGATATGATGTTTGGTGATATCACGTGGGCCCACAAGTAATATACGTAGTAGGGCGTGATGGTGATGGTGATGATGATGATGATGATGATGATGATGACTCAGCTGGTGGTGGAAGTGAAGTGAGTGATGATGCAACAAGTTGGGAAATAATAGAGGGTGAAGATAATGAAATGGAAAATATTCAAAAGGCACTAGAGGTTCATTTCTATTTCTGTTTCTATTTATAAAAATTATAACAAACAAATAAACTGGTTTAAATTTTAAACTTTTTTTTGTTAAGGATCTTTGGATGCAGAATGGACCAGAGATGAGTGTTGATACAGATAAGCAAACAACTAAAAGCATTCAGACAAATGGTGCACTTTCTATACCCTTAGCATCCCTTGGATTCATGACAAGGTTAGCAAGTGGAATTTTTTCTAGGGATCAAAGAAACATTACATGTAATTTAGGGGGTGATAATGTAACATTACATAAGGAAGATAAAAATGATAATACCCTTGAAAGATTAGTATTGAATTCTATTTGAAGTTTTAGTTTGTTGGACTTGGATTGGATGTTGTAGTATCATGTGATGATTTCTGTTTCAGGTTATATTATATAAGGTATTTGGTGACAGATCTTGTTCTCGAAGTCCTACCGAAATGAAATGACTAATTAGATTTCTTGAACCTCATTATTCTAGAAAGAACATAATCATTCTTGAAACTTAATAGTCAGAAAAAAGCCAACATGGGATTTCTTTTTGTATTATAAGTCCTTTCTATTTTTGTATAAAGGATCACACATCTATCGTTGGTAATCAAATGCAAAAATCGAAGTTGCTATGAGTTATTTTAAAATTATTATAGATATATACAGAAACATATAAAATATTTTGGTGTTCAAAATACCAAAAGATTGCAACCAATTTAATTCAAGAAATTATGCACAATAAAATTAACACTTTTTAACGTAGTTGATTTTTTTTTGAAAAACAATTAGGAAGAAAAGCAATAGAAATTAATATAAATTATTATAATTAAAAATTATCACATATTATTCCCTTTATTCCTGTAACACCGTAAATTTCAAAACAAAATTTTCAAATTTTTATAAAACATAATTCATTTAATATTCATAAAACAACCATATTCGATTATCCCATTTAAGTAAATACAAAATCCCAAGATCACAAATGTATAGGTTCCGTGTGTGTGTACGGATCAAGCCGGCGCCTTCCCGCGGTCGTCACTAGTACCTGAAACAATAACATCAAACACTGTAAGCACAAAGCTTAGTGAGTTCCCCAAAATACCATATATAACACATATTAGCCACTCGAGGCTATAACTCTGTGGGTCCGTGCACCCAAACTCTGTGAACCCTCAGGTTCTAACTCTGTAAATATGCATAGCATAAATCACATAGAAATAATGCAGTATAACACATAACATACATAGCACACAAATACACTATCACATAACTCTGGTTACCTACTAAAGGTAAAGTATAGTGAGAAAACTCACCTCGCGTCTTGGTAAGTCGTGAATCCTGAAATCACTAGTGCTCGATCCCCCGAGCTAAAGCCCTCCTAAATCACAATACATCTCTAATTAACACTTTCCCAACTAAGGTTGACTACTCTTTAACAAGTCAACTTAGGTCAACGTTGGTCAACCGTCAACGGTCAACTTTGACTGGACTCGGCGAGTGCATTATGGCGACTCGGCGAGTCTGAGCGTATACATTGATTTCCCTGAAATCCTCCTTTGACACGTCGAGCATTCTCTCTAACTCGACGAGTTCCACCTGGCATGAGTTGTGGGGCCACCATGACTCAACTCGCCAAGTCTCAAGAAAAACTCAGCGAGTCCAGCTTGACTCAGTCCACCTGTCCACTTTGATTCCCCCCTGACTCACTGAGTCAACCCTCCCCTACTCGGCAAGACCACTTGCTGTGTGGTCGGGCGTTATTCATACTACTCGCTGAGTCTGTTCTTCAGACTCAGCGAGTCCGCGCCATGCAATGACTCAAACTTGCTTATAAGGTCAGATCCAATCCATTAACCCTTAGATCTAGTCCTTCCAAGCTTATTTAGCACGTAAAGGCACAATCTTGATGCACATACAATCTCTATATGACCATATATGATGTTTTTGACTCAAATACTACAACTTAAGGTCATAAACTCCATTGCTATACATAAAGCTTGATGAGTGAGGCTCTCTGGACCTCTATGGATCCAGATCCAGAGCCTCAACACAAGAAGGGAACTATTTGGCATCAAATCATCCCATAAATGTCCATAAGAAACCCTAAATCCCATTATACTTCACAAAACAGAAGATAAACCGAAATCATACCTCTAGATTGATGATCTAAGCTTCAAATCCACGAAATCCCATTTGGGTATGTTCTTTAATGAATAATAAATCCATAATCTCCTTCAGCGCTTTCCTCTACAAACCAATTCTCTTTTTGATAGTCATGAAAATGAAAATCCTAGGGCATATAGTCCTATTGAAATTGGAAGTATCCCAAGGCACATTAACATACATATTCATGCTGTTAAGTTAACTTAATTTTCCTTAACATAAGCTATATATATATATATATGTGTGTGTGTGTGTATATATATATATATATATATATATATATATATTCTCATATGTATCTTTTTAAGAGGAATAGGTATAGGTCCAAGGGCAACTAATGTTGAATCATCAAATAAATAAAATGTTGATCTTCTAATGTTGTTCTTTTACAGGAGGTTGGCATTGGACCTAAAGTTGGTTGCTAATATAGGAACAGTGGGTGCTCCAAATGCAGGAAAAAGAATATTTTTATGTGTTATTAGTGCTGACATGTAGTGTTGTTTAACATGTAATGTTAGGTAACTTTTTGACATGTGATATATATTTTTTGAAATGAATAATAGTTCTTATGTATGGTATTTTGTTTTGTATTATGTTAATTTCAATCTATTGTTTAAGTTGAAAATTAGTAATTTTATCAAAAAAATATATAATTTTAAAACATTTAAAATTATGACACACAAATACATGTCATATTCATTTATGACAGAGGCTTTAATGATACGCAATGCGTGTCTTAAACGTGCGTCGTAAGGTTACGACACACAAATGCGTGTCATCTTCCTTTATGACAGGTCCTTCCTTGACAGACATTATGTGTCGTAACTGCGCATCATAAATGCGTGTCGTAAATGCACGTCGTAAATAGACGATATGCAAAAGCGTGTCGTCTCTCGTTATGACAGGGCCTTCCTTGAGATGCATTTGTGCTTTGTCTGAGCGTTTTAAGACACACATTGCGTGTCGTAAAAGGCTGTTTTTTTAATAGTGATAGGTCTAGACTATTTTAAGTTACGTAGAATATTAGACTAAGACTTAGTGATAATGATACTAGGTTACGTTAGAGGAAAAGTTAGTTGCTAGAAGTGAAGCATTGTTCGAGTTTTAAGTCATGAATTTAACAAATGAGTGCATAGTTACCTTCAGCTTACACATAGATATCAAGTATTTAATTTTCCTGAATGCTATATGTGCTTATTATCTGTGTTTTTGATCTATGTGTTACATGAGATAACGATTTTTCCTAAAATATTATATATGTAATTTATCGTACTCATAATATACAGGGTAGGATAGGTAGAAAGACATAAGAGAAATGAGATGATAATTAGAGACTATAAGAAAATAGATAATGGTGAGAAATCATACCAAGAGATAGAATAATGGTGAGAAACCATACCAGAGATAGAATAGTGGTGATAGACCATGCCATGTATAGGGAAAGAGACCAGGACCAACATAGACCAGTCATCAAGCAGAGTATTGATGACAACCACAACGTATTCTAGACAGTCTAGTGGAACACTAGCACACTTGCAATCTGTAGGTGTTAATGAATCACACAAACCGAGAGTATGGATTGTGGGTTCATTTGAGTACTATGTTTTCCCATTGTTACTTTACCGACATGTAATGCTAAGAAAATTTATTAAGAAGTACTTTTATACTTGTTGCATACAATAATCCTTAAGATAGAACCCTTGAGATAAATTCTATCGAATAAGAGGGAGATAGAGAGAGAGAAAGAAAAAGAGTAACGGGAATGGGTAATCGGGTTAACTGTTTGGTGTGAATTATACATTTTTAATAGAGATAAATTATATTATTGTGGGTTGAAAACCCTATGTACTCACCAAGTTTCCCAACCTGACCCACTCAGCTTCTTTGTATCACAAGTAGTGATACAAAGGTACATGCACAATGAGAGATTTAAGGAGATGTAGACCGTTAGTATATTCATACATTGTAAGTCTCCATTTATGCTTATGTTTTATATCAATTATGACATCTCGGGTTTTAAAAATATAAACAAATCACACTTCTTCGAAAATGCTTTGATAATATCATTATCATGTTTTCAGGACAAATTCCACATAATTAATCTCTTAAAAGAATACTTTGATTAATAAGAATAAACAAATTGGTCTTTTTTCTAGCGGTAAAAATACGGATGTCACATTTGGTATCAAAGATTTGGTTTAATCGAACTACAAGTACGGATTTATTTTTAGACTTAAACTTAGAATGCTAAGCGATGATCGTGAGATGTGTGTCTATTATATTTTAGGTAGTACACTTGAATTGATACGGGCACTAACTTATATTAGGATAAGATGGCTAATTTGATTTATGTGCTAAATGAATTATGCATGCTATAGCTATAAGATGCCTTAGATCTCTTATCTAATTGATATTATTAGGTTTATGGTCTGTTGCCGACCTTGAATTAGGAAATTTTTTTGTGTTTAGGTTTCTAAACATTTAATTATGGTATTAGAAGTGGCACATAATTTTTCAAAGTAATAAGGGGGATTATGCGTTTAAAAATTCCTTATCTGTATTCTTGTCTCAGTACACTCGATTTGGTGTATAGAAAGATATGATGAGGACAAGAAGAGGATGAGGAAATAACGATCGAACCAACAACTTGAGTGAGTGATGGCTCGTACACCGGTCATCTCATCTGGATCTAAACCTATCACGAAGGCAAGAGTTCAGGAAATGATTTAGATGATGCTAAATCGTCAAATGGAGGAGAAAAGGTATCTACTTTTGGAAAATGGAAGAGAAATTACTTCACCCGTTGTGCAACGTGAGTTGAATGGGGAATAGTTTGAGGAGGGAATCTACAGTTGGACTATTAGCCAAGTTGAACCAAGAATGGTTGGAAGGAACCAACAAAATAAAGGAGATGATACACGCGTGTGCATGTATAAGGACTTCATGGGTGCCAAGACACCAAGTCTTTCTAGAAGCCTGAAGCCAGTAGAGATTATGGACTGGAACTTCGAGATGAAGATGTTATTTGAGAACTATAAATGCTACAACAAATAGAAAACCGTTCTTACAGTCAGACGATAGAAGACCGAGGTTTTAAGTTGGTGGAAGTTATTGGTAGATACTGTTCCGCAATGAGAAGACATAAAGATGTCTTGGGAAGCATTCGTCGACCAGTTGAAGATGCAATACTGCTCGAAAGTGGATCTGATAGATATGAACAATGAGTTTCAGAACTTGAAGAAGAGGAAGATGAGTTTTGGTGAGTATGCCACCATATTCACCGAGAAGATGAAGCTATTCCCTATCTGATGCCTAATGAACTCTCAAAGATAAAAAGGTTTGCTAACAGATTGCCTATGAACTTTGGTCCAATGGTTATAATGACAACTACTTTGAAGACATGGCTACTTTGAAGACATCTGTTAGAGAAGCCAATAATATTGAGACCCAGATAAGATAAAGGAGTCTGGAGAAGGCTGAGAAAGTAGAGAACATGAAGCTTGAGGGATCTTCAAGACCCAATAAGAAGCGTATATCCTTGAAGTCTAAAGATCATAAGCCTGGGGGTAACACGGAGAAGTGGTGCAACAAGTGCAGAAAGAAGTACTTTGGAGAATGCACTAAAGGAGTGACATGTTACATGTGCGAGAAAACTGGTCACTATGATAAATAATGCACGGACAAGAAGGAAGTTTTCTTTAACTGTAGTGAAAAGGACACTTAAAGCAAGACTACCCAAAGAAGGAAGAAACTGTAAGGCTGAATTTCCCAACAAAGCCAAAGGTGAGGGCATATTTTATGGGACTTGATGAGGTAACAAGAGGGCGAGAATTTGTAGCTTCTTTTCTAGATTTCTTAAAGGAAAGAGATAAATAATTAGTATTAGCCTATGTAGCCTAATGTATAAGGCATTAAGCATGATGAACTCAAATAAAGCTTGTAATCATTTTTAAGAAATAATATAATCCTTCATTATGCTATATGACTCAATGTCTTAAGTTGTTGTCTGATCTTCTTGTATGGTGACTCAGGGACTACGAGACAATACTTGGGACCACTATGAGTAGGTGTGAAATGTAGTAGAGTCCTATACTAATGGAAGCACAAGAGTCACACTTGGATCAGGGAAAGTCATAAGGTTACTGTCACACCCCGAAACTGATGGCGGAAACGTTCTTGGGCGGAGGACATCATGTAAAGTATCACAACCAATGTACATAGTAAGCATAGTAAACACAAAACATTACATTACATAGAAGTATTTACATTTGTTTGAAAGTAAAGAAATACATGTTTTATCTATACAGTCGTTTGAACAAAAGTAGAGACGTGACTGCTAAAATGCTCCGTCTTCTCCAAAAGGTTGCGGGGTACCTGTCTAATGTGGACCTGAGAATACAAGCAGTTTGAAAAAATCAACATAAAGCTGGTGAGTTCATAAGCAGGTTGTTTTCTGAAAATGAACAAGTTTCCTTTGGTTTTATGAAAAAAGTGTTATCCAAGAAAATCCCATATTTTCTTATAAGTAAAGTTTAGTTATCCATTTGTTATACAATCTGGTTATGAACAGTTCCGTTATCCCAGGAAAATCCCTTATTTTCCTTAAAAGTTTGTAGTTGGTTATCGGTTCTGAATGTAATGTACAAGTATCTACCATACTTAAAGTGTTTCTGTGAAGTTTCCTAAAACCTGGTTATCCTTGAAATGTATGTTAGTTTTAACATGTATATAAAACTATTGTGTGAGAAGTAAACTAATTCGTAAGGTTATTAGTTTACTAGATCCATTATTACTAACAAGTAAATCTCTGTTATCTAAATTACGAGTTCCATAACCATACGATATACTGGATATGGCAATAAGAAGTCCAGTATCATTTTATGACTTTCGTCACCCGTAGACCTGCCGGTCCCACTGTAGCTAGCAGCGAGGTGCGGGGTAGTTAGCCCCGTATAGATCTATACACTCAAGTCACGCTCTTTGTCCAGGAGATTATGGTTATGGGGTCGCTCCTCCACTCACGTATCTTTGTGGAGTGTTTCAGAGGACGTGTCTCTAATTATTAAGATCAACAAATTTACAAGTAATAATGCGGAAATTCTTGTTTGTGATTCTGGTTACAAAGGTGGTCCTCCACTCGCGTATCTCTGTGGAGTGTTATCGAGGACATGTTGAAAGTTCTGAAGTTGATGCTTTTAATAGTAATAATGTGGAAAATCATTTGTGAAATATAAATTATAGCATTTTATAATGAGTTTCACAAATAGTTTGAAAACTAACTCTGCAAGTTAAACGGTTGGTTAATACGGTTTCCAGAGTTAAAAGCATACGGAATATGAAACATTTCATAAGAAATCATAAGTTTGAGTACCAGACATTCTTGTACTATTCCCCCCTGAAACCATTGAAAACATGGAAAAAGTGTAGGGGTATGAACCCACGAACGAGAAACGTGTTGGTTGGATGCTAAGTGTCAGTTCGAGGCTTGAATACAC